ATCACTTGGTTTTGGAAATTGACGGAGATCCGACCGTTGGATGGTAATGAAATTTTAGGATGATGTCCTAGAGGTATATTGTGGACCTCTGGAAGTTATGGATTTGAAATCTGAGTTGCAAATCTTCCGGATCGAACTACGTAGTGACGTGTTTTATATAAGTTATATATTCTATCGATATTTTCTGAGGTTGGATTTGATTATTGTTCTAGGCGGCGATCGTCATGACGCCTTGATGTGTGGTGCTAGGGAATTGTAGGGCGAACTCCAGGTGAGTGGGCAGTATTTTCTGTTTATACCTATATGCTATTGAAATTCCCAGAAATTGAGTTTTAATGAAAGTATGTTTCTAAAATGCCATGCATGCATGATATGAATGATATGAGTTATATGAATTGATAATTGATGCATATATATATGTGAATTGGTGCTATGGACGCACATGTGAGTATCAGGTGAGTTTTATGTTATTCATGTGAATCATTGATGATGTGTATTATGTTGATAGCTCATAACCTGCAATCATGGTGTTAGTGCTTATATTATTCACCCGCACCGCACGCTCACCTTGGATCCAAGTAGGTGCATGTCGTACAGACCATGAGAGAGTTCCGACATACTAGTCGTACAGACCATTACAGGTGGTTCCGACTAGTAGGTGACTTTAGATTATGTGCACAGATGATTGATGAGAGAAGCACTAGAGCGTATTATTACACCATTCATGTCGTACAGACTACTTCAGGTAGTTCCGACTTACATGCAGTGTAATGCCGTACAGGTCACCGAGGTGACTCCGGTTGGATTGGATGTTGAGCTATAGAATTAACCGTACAGGACCAACTGCAGGGTCTCCGGTTAATTCATTATTTCACCTGTTACATTGGTGCATCATTCATTCTGTTTTTGAAATTATAACATGGCATACTTTCTGGTTTTTGAGAAAAATTGATGATTTGAGATTTATGAAAAGTATTATGCTATTATGCTATTTTCTGGGAAAGTATACATGTTTTACAGCGAGGGGTTAGAAATGTTTTAAATGAAAAGTTTTCGAAAAACTTTGTTTTACTGACCCACTCAATTTTGTTTTGCGCCCCTCCAGGTTCTAATTAGCAGAGCTTTGGTGGCCACGAGGAATCCAGCGGTGTTATGACAGAATTTACAAAAGTAGGACTCACCCTCGGGTGTTTCATCTTGGTAATTGTATTTTTTTAAAAGCTTCCGAGCTGTGTAAATGGTTACGTCACACTCACGTGACGGCCAGCATGCCCTCCTTCGGGACGGGGTTTGTCAATACTCAAATGAATTAAAGATGACGCCTCAATATTTTCACACCCATAATTTGAACTAAGATAATCCAAACTAACTGTATCTTGTGCCACTTCATCGTAAAATGCTAAACAAAAATCTCCTTCTTCAGTTGACTCAAACCACATAGCATAATCATGAAAAAGGTCAACACATTGCAAACAAATGCCTCCCTCCCCTTGGGAAACCACATCGCCTCGTCGTTGATTTTTGATGCGAAAAATTTGATTGGTGAGATGTCAATGCATCCTCTTAATCTCTTCCAAGTCGTCATCAACATATTTGTCATAAATTGGTGGAGAATTCCAATCAACCAAGCTAATCTCTTCAACCATTTGATGTTCAAACATATGAAAAATATCAACCATGATCTTCTAACACAGAGGAAAACCAAAGATTATAACAGAGTCAACAAAGATTTAAACTCGAGGACGAGTTTCTTCAGAGAAGAGGAGAATGATGCAATAACCAAAGCTCTCATGCATGTATTGGAATCTACCAAGAGTCTCATGCGTATTGGAACCATCAAATATATTTAATTGTTTTAGAGCAACACAAATAATTAAGTAGTCATTTCATAACATTTTAAATATTTTTGTGGTAGAGCAAAAGTCCAATTCGGACTAGAGTTTCATTGTGTTGTATCCCTTATAAATATATGTACTAAACCCTCGAGAAAGGGGATTTGAATGAATGAAAAATAGTTTATTTGCCTTGTGCATTTGAAGTGAGTGTTCTCTATTTCTAAAATCAAGCGTATGACTTGGTCGTGTGAATGAATCCACGATTAGCAACACGAGCGAGTTCCGTTGCCCCTGATAGAAAGATTCCTAGGTTATCTCCCTCGGTAATTTGGCTTGTCCTGCATCAAACCCGCCCAAGGAGTATAAATATTATTGTTTTTTGCCAATGCGATAAAGCGTCATGCAAATACTAGAAGTAATTGAACTTCAAATTCTAAGGTTAATTTTTTTCTTAAAATTCTTGTGTTAGATTGGATTATTAGACATATCCAGGTTGTAACTGGAAAATAAAACATCAAACAAAATCTATAAAAAAAAAATTAACAATTGCATCTAGACATGACTCTAAAGTTTAAAGAAGTCGAATATTTCACCCAAATAAATTTTCAATAATTCAACTATTCATACAAAATATATGTATTCATACTGTCTATGTGATCACCTTATTTTGCATTCTTTTAGATGAGAAATTAAAAGGAACAGAAAGAGAACTGCATATATATATATATAATCAGGATTTGGAGACACATATTTTTTGTGAGGTTCATTCCGTAATGTATTTTAATGATTCAAATTGTCTATCTTTTAGGTCACCATTCAAAGATCATGTCTACTAAAAATCACTTAAATCCGAAATTATATGACCGTATGATTAAATTTATGGTTTATTTGTAAAACCGTATTCGTCAATTTTCTTTACTATAAATGAATGTTTTAATGGTTTTAAATTTGTGTAATTTTTTTTGTAAGAATGTTCTATAAATGATGTACTAAAATAAGACGGTTTAGATTGTTACAAAGTAATTCCTACAAATGAATGTCAAAAACGTGTATCCCAGATTTTAACCTATTTATACATGCGGGGGTTCAGCTGCAGTCATAGCAGCACCTATGTATTGAAACCATGAATTTGAAGGGTCAATCAGTACTGCAATTTGTAGTGTCTTGCATCATCGATCTTATGCATTCGCAGTGGCCAGGATGCTAAGACAACAAAACAACTCAACTCAACCACCTTAATCCTAACTGTCAGGGGTGTTGACTAATTAGTAACACACAATATACAAAGTTAAGACAACAACCTTACCAAATTTATGCTGCAACCTTGCAATTAAGAATTGGAGTGACATAGATAATCATTTATATTCAACGTCCATTAAAGAAAAAAATAAAAAAAATAATGTCTAACGATGAATTACGTACGTTAAATAATTATAATGCATAAGTCATGCATTTCGTTATTTGAAAATTTTATCATATGACAGCGGTGCAGGAGTATACAATTTGTACTGTATAAGTACGGAAGATTCTTGGTGTTTTTTTTTCAATATTTTTTATTTATTTTTTAGTACAACGATATATTTTACATTAAGGAGAGGGGTTCGGCCATGTCACACAATAGGTAACCTAATTTGGTAATAATTCGCTATTTTCGAAATTTAAACCTAAGACATTTTATTTACATACAGAGGAATACCACTAGACTGTAGTATTGAGTGACAATTCTTGAGGTGTTTTTAAAATTAAGAAATTAATTAATTATTTTTATCACAACAGTTGTGTGCATAAAAATTAATATTTAATTGTTAAAAAGAAAAAATTAACGTTGCAATTGTTAATGTCTGCTTCTATGAATGAGGATCATCTTCGGATCCGTTTTTTGAGGATCCCAGGAATTCTCCAATCATGTTCATTTATCGTATATCATACGGTCAGAAATTATTGTAATTTTTTTTTAAAATTAAATATAAACAGTAATTGACAAAAAATTAGCCACATAATGTACGATGAACGAACGTAATTAGAAGATCCGGAAGGGATCCTCATTCTGCTTCTATGACGATTGACAAGTGCATGCACCAAATTTAAAAATTAATGTAGAGGATTATACTAACATAAGCCTTCACATCTCTGTTGCTAATTACTAGTTACATCCCACACGGATCTAACGTGGTTGATCATCGTATTGCACATCATGAACATCAATGTCTGTATACACCATGATCTTGTGTCGTTTACGGATAAAACATATTTTATTGTAATCCGTAAGCTGATATGGGGGTCTCTTGTTCCTTAATCCAAGTTTTTTTATTTTTTATTTTTCTGTTGAGACTTTTACTCGGTTAAGATTTTTTATTAATTACTTTTCCTATTACATGCGTCACGGTCGGTGTTAACCAATTAATATATATCTTAAGGCTGCGTTTGATATGCGAAAAAAAAAATTGAAGGAATATATATATTTTTGTCTTTTGCTTGGGGAAGGGAAACGCAAAATTCTTTTCCTATGGTCGATAACTACAAGAAATTACGTACGAGCTATTATTATTTTTATTTTTTTGTGGGGAAGGAAAGTGAATACCAAAAGGGGTGGAGGGCTTCACTTCCCTCTATTTTCTTGTGAGTCAGGAAATCATTTCTCAAACCTGAACTTGTAAATATGGAATAGGCAAAAGTATTCGATTCTCAAGCTTTTTTCGCACATACCAAACGTAGCTTATGTTATCGACCAATGGAAGCAAATGTCAAAGTCTTCCTCTTTAAAAAAAAAATAAATAAAGAATATAGAGCAAGAGTTAACGTGCAAGGATCCATTGGAGTTTCATAAGTTTTCAACTTTCTTTACGAGAATAATGGAAATGGAGCAATCATGCATGTTTGATCGTAAATTTGCCTTGTTATTTGGAGGGACAAATCGTGTTTGAGAACAAATGCGGAATGAGAGCTCACTGCCACAATTAGGTGGTCATGGTTAAGTACCATTAGTAGTATGTAAAGGTATTTGTCGGATGAGAGAAAAAAAGTTAAAATTCAAAGAGAAATTGACTAATTATAAAAGTTAAAGTTCGGGGTAAGGGAAGGGGGGAGATTGACAGCTTCTTCCAAGCTCGGGAGGAAAATTGGCAATTTTTTTTTTTTTTAAACTTGTAACTACCCAACAATACATTTAGATATGGTGAATAATTTTTTTTGCATTAACGGTATAATCTCCCTCAAAACGATCCAACAGTACAAACCCTATCGCTGCACAATACGAAATGGTTTTATGTTTCGTAAAAACGAAGCTCTATCATGCATTCCTGGTGCTTTGGGGAATACCAAGCGACAGCTTTGGCTGAACCGAGGACTTGCAGCGCGTATTCAAGAGCAAACACCGGCTCGTCCACGCGGATATTCCACTCTCGGTTCTTTAGTTCAACTGCAACTCCTGACTCAACCCTGAAACTGACAGGTCCACAAATCTGCAAGGAAATGCAGAAATCGTTACAGTTCAGAGATAACATTCATGTCAACACCGTTCAGGTTCAACATCCAAAACAGAAGCAATCCTAGTTACTACGATGGTGCAGCCCAAGTTCAACACAGGAACATACGGTATAAGAACAAGTTATTCAACTTATAAGCTTTTCTGAAATCGCAATTGACGTCGGTTCTGCCAAAAGTGGAAGATAGAACTAGTACAAGAGAAGTATAGGTACCTGCTGCTGAAGAGAAAGTGTGGCATTGGGGCAAATGTCCTGAATAGCTTCCAAATTTGGCTGTTGAGAATTAAAATAATCTTGTGCTAGATGTGCTGCACCTGAAAGAAACTTAGAACCAGAAGGAAAATCCAGGCGGGCATGAAAGCGAGAAAGATCTAGGAATAGCCTTTGGAAGTTTCCATGCTGGGCTGTAAATGTTGCTGATGCAAATATATCTGCTAGAAAGGCAGATTTTACTCCAGGAGCCCAAAAACTAAAACCTCTAAAACCCTGAGGATCATCGTCTGCAATTTGTGACCTAACCCAACTATCACCAAACGAGGCAGTCATCACAGCACCTATGTTTGAAACAATGAATTTGAAAAATATCAATTAGCAAGAGTTGCATGCATCAGTTTGGCATCATAAGCATCAGCAATAAAACTACCCGACCCAACTGACCTTAAACCTAATTGTCATAGGTTTGTTAACAATGAACATAAGCAAAATTATACTGCAGTTTCTGCACACAAGATGTAACCACCCCCTACTCCTCTGTACAGTTAAGAGTACATGCCACTTGACAACTCTGCCAAAAATTGTATTCGACAGCAAAGGGCACAGGACTACTTGATCCCAATTTACGAGCAAATATCTAAATTACTAATGCTACAACTGGTGGTTTCTTATAAGTTCCGGAAAAAGATTTCTCTTTTATATAAGCAAAAGGGTGTTTAACTAAATTCTTATAGAAAAACTCATCCTCTTCTTCCTTCCCTAATCCTTCCTTATCAACTACCTGCACAATTCAGCAGAGGCAGTGCCTTACCAATAATCCCGGAAGCCGAAACATGAGGATTTGAAAGGAATACATCAAATGGTTGGACCATTCTCAACTTCTGAGCATGACTCCTCCAAAGCTCAAAGTTCTTCTTAAAGGAAAATGCACTTGTGACAGACAAACCGGGAAGCAGGGTAACAGGAACTCCATCGCTCTGGCCACCGTCAAACCGCTCGGGTGTCCCTGAATTATGACGTGCACATACACGATAACTGGCCCCGGAGTCAGAAGCAACCGAAGCCAGATCAAGTGACATTGAGAATGGCACATCCCAATAGTTTCCGGGCTTGTCAGCGAAAAGCCCGGGCCAAACTGCCTCCACTGTCAAATTATGATGAGAAAACTGCAATGTACATGATTATTCACAGCATTACTACAAATCCAGCAACAAGGGCACAAAATTGAGAATTTTCCAAATCAAAAAAAGCACCTTGTGCTGAAAAAGTGCTTTCTTTCGGGGTTTCTTGTCATCGCCATAACCGTCCACACTCAAAACCAATGTGTCATCAGCTGTTAGCCAAAACTCAGAACAGAAGGAAAGGGCGTACAGGGACTTCTCTCGCAGGTGGGTTCCAATGCTTTGCATCCACGAAGATACAGAGTCCGGCGGCGCCTCCTTACCGCTCTTTTTCACGGCGGAGATAAACCGCTGGAAATTGAACTGACCCAGAATCGTCCCGAACCTACAGAGAGCTTTTCAATTCGAGAATTAGTTATTCAACTTGAAAAATGCAAAGGGGAAATTGAGGTGGGTTTAGGCGGCGGGTACCAATTTTCGCCAATGGGTAGGGTGAGGACTCGCTGGAGAGTGAAGCCATCAGCGGCGGTGTAGGAAGGGACGAAAATGGAGGCCATGAAGCGCTGCATGAAGTCGATTTGCTTGGGCCGGGAAAGCCTGGGGCCTCGGGTGAGGCCCAGAGGAAGTGGGTCGCCGGGAACAGGTCGGACGAGTCCGTCGAGGGTCCTCGGAGTCGACACGTCGAGGTCCCAAAAGCTGCCGTCCATTGCCCATCTCAACTTCTTCATCTCCATTTCCAGATTGCTTCTTGTTTTCAGCTTCTGCCTTTTCTTCTTAACCCATTTGATCTTCGACAAAGGTATGAACGACAAGTCGTATAAATTTGGAAACAACAGTGCTTCCTGAGGGATAGGTTCGATTTTCCTACCCTATTTAAGGCCTATTTAAGGTCTCGTTTGGATGTGCTTTTAAATAACTGAAAACGTTTTTGGTAAAAATATTTTTGGAACCCATCCTTAGTAAAAATACAAGTTAATCCTAGAAAATCACTTAAAGTGCTTTCTAGAAGATAACTTAAAAGTGCTCTTGAAACCCAAAAACATTTTCTCTAAATGCGTTTTTAGCTATTTTAAAAGTACATCCAAACGAATTATAACTTTCTCTAATATAAACCCTAATAAATTCTAAAAATCAAAAAAAAATTTATTTTTCTTTTTTAACAAACGACAATATTATTTACATTAAAAAAGTGAAGAAGTGGGTTAAGACTTATATAAAACAGACTCACCATTATCGTGGTGTCCTGATTCAATAATATAATGTTATGTTTAAACCTCTTCACATGTCGTATGCAAAAACTGCCACGCTACATTATTAAACTGAAATGTGACGTGAAAATGAAATAATTAGTCCATTTCATATGAGTTGTTATCAAACGATGCCACACAGGAGTGAGATATTCGGTTTAATATGTCAATTTGCCTCATTCGTTTGAGCCTTGACATAGCTGAATTGATAATGGTTAAATTAGTAAAAATAAGTTAAATAACATTTGTGTAGTAAATCCGCCACTAAAGATAAATGCTCGAGGGCGTTAACAAGTCACTCATCATTGGAGAACTTAACAGAGTTAAGGTGAGATGGAAAGCATTATTTGTTTCGTGCCGGATCATCATACAGACCAACACTCGATTTAGGATAATCTAATAAAAATAAATGTGATCAACTTGATCACTTGATCACTTGATCAATATTTACAACAAAATTGCAGTTTCTACGACATAAAGTTCACCTCATCGTCCATGGCAGGCCCATTAAACCTCGAACAGTAGTATGAGTACGAATCATGAGCAAGTGTCTGCAGGGATGAAAGGATATAAGTGTTCGTTCAAAGGCTGTAGCCATGAAAACAATAGGGTTGTGTGTGCGTGTAATATATTGCTTATTTGCATCTTCTTCGAGCTTGTAGGTCTCTCTTTTTACATTGTTATCACGGCATCAGAATTTTGGTTACGAAAAATCCCGAGTTTGAATGCAGAGTGGAGGTACACCCACATGTTCTCTGTCAGCATTTCATCGTGCAGGGTTGCACGAGAAGAAGACAGTTTGGTTCATTCTACAATTTAACCTATGGTGTTTAGTAGTTCACAGAAAGCACGATACAAGAAAGCCATGATAGTTGAGTTACCTGTTCCTGTGATCGGAAATACATGAACGGTGTATAATGTAGGAAATTGGACACCCTGGAGGTATATATATCAGCATACCTGTAAAGATGGAAACGGAATTGAGAGAATCACTGTCAACGAGGGAACTCATAATTTCAATTTTAACATCTGTTCACATTAACGAAAGATGAACATGTCGGAAGAAAGTACATACTTCTCAATTTGCCTCATCAAATGGCTTTTATCCCAGAAACCTGCACGGGAAAGAAATCCCCACCTAATGCACAGCAGGTTCACAAGGTCAACTGTATGTTCACAAGACTGAAACATTTTCCACAGATAAACCCTCAAAATGAAAAATCAATTCTTACCTTTTGTTGAAGAGCTCTCCATCTGCTTCTAGCATCGGAGCAATTTTCTGGTCTAGTCTTTGCATAACGATAAGTAGCTTTTGCATGCTTTCTGAGAGTTCTTGATCCTCCAAGTTTGTTGCAGCAAGGGTCTAAAAGTAAAGAAAATTTCAGATAAAATTAAGAAGCACTACGTTCCATAACTCTTCGATTAGGCATTCACATTGCTTGCTGAATGCTGTGATTCAAAATAAAACCAATTTAGCTTATAGCTAACTAGAAACATAAGCAAAAATTCATAAGATAAAGCTTACTTGAGCAGGGCGCCCCTTAGTTTGCCTTTGTGAGGCGAGCCGAAGTTGGTTGAAAAGATCCCCTACGACCTCCTTTTGGTTTATAAGATCTACTAGTGCTGCTCTATGACCCCCGCTCAGAATCAAAGCACTATACTGCAGTTTCCAAATTTTCATGAACAAATGGAGACGTTTATCAGCATTCAACAGTTCAAGGATATTAAAATCCAAATTACTAGGACACCAAATTACAAATTTCATTCGCAGGTGTTTGGTCTCAGGAATAACAGAAATATTTATAAAAAGGCGGGTTTATTTTGTAGTCTCGATGTTTGTTCTAGGCAGTACTATATTATGAGTTATGCCACATTGTTAGTTTCACTTTCCCTTTATCAACTCATGTAAAGAGAAATCAACTACACAAACCTCTTCTTCCAATTCTCGGCAAACCAATGCTGTTCGCCATCGCAGATGAACTTTGGATTGACTTACATCTGTGTAGATATGATCACCAACATACAGTATTTCATCTCCATGGATATTTAGGGAATTCTCAACCATCTGAGCACTTCCCCCTGAATACAAGCCCCCTGCAGAAAGAAGACATTTCAATGAGAATGAGATTGTTAATTAAGTATAAATTAATCAAATAATCTGATCAATGCAAAGCACAGACGAATCGTCAGGAGATCCTGGAAAGCTGTGCGCCTTAATACATGCAACCAAATTCTTCTACTATAGCCATGAAGATGTGTATCCAATCAGGCATTCACTGTATTTCTTCCGTGCACATAAAGTTCTTGGAATTTGGTGGCTGAGATTAGAGCCACAATTGAGTCCCACATCGGAAGTGAGGATAATCATCTATTGGTTTATAAGCAGTGATACCACACACACTATTGCCGAGGCCTTTTGTTAAAATCCCATACCCATTTATCTCCCGGGTGGCTAAAGTGGGGGGAATATCTGCGATACTGACACTCGTGTATGTGTGACCAGCTGGTGTGCTTCGGCACAACAAAGTTTACTACAAATTTTGAGTCATGACTACTATATGTCACCAGCCATTTATCAAGACTATGAGAAGACATTATTGTCCATACAATCACACGCAATTTTGTTTCCGGAATTGTTTATCCTAGACACCTTCAAAGCATGTTCAACAACATTTGCTCAAACAAGTTTAAGATATTCAGTGCTAAACAAGCAGAAGTACTGAGCATTAGCCATTATCACCTGTTTTAGCCTTGAAGCATGGACGCATGAGGCCCTCACCCGTCACTACCTCATACATTGGGTGTGACATTTGGAAGAACTCTGGCTTCCTTGCAGAGACTATTACCTGCATATGAGCGTAATAAACAAAAAGTGTAACTCACTGCTGTTGACACCTCGTTACAAATCTGAAGATCATTACTATTTATCATAGCCTTCTGTAGCAGATGCCCAAGAGTAATTATTATTCAATGTAGCACGAAGTTAAAACTAGATGGATGACGTTGACTTACAATGTCAAATAGATCCCTCCAACCCATCTCATTGGGAAGAAATCTGTTGAAGGAATGCTGCATCATTTTGTTTGTGTAATGATAATCTGAGTTGGTAATGAGCAGAAGCTTTTTACCAGCCTAATGCACAAATAAGTCTAAGTAAATTAGGAGTAAAATAATAGCCACATGCTATGCAAAAAAGATGAGATTCTATAAGACAAACCTCTTTTTGATCCAAAAGCGCTAATGGCAATTCTGGATCAGGCTCCACAAACAGTTCAGGCTTCGACATTATTTCGCTCTGTATATATGCCCAAATCAGTTCTTTTTCATGAACTAATATCTGATTCTTATCCAATAAACAAATAATAAATATATATACTAACCTTTAGTTGACCCTCGACATGTGCCCGGAAGAGGGCTCTTCCAACAGCCTGAAATCATGTCAAAAGTTAAAAAGGAGCAAGAAAAAGCTCTATATAATTTAGGCAGAGCTTATTGCCTTATAGAGCCCTTTATAATCAAGTGGACCAATTTCTGCGGCTATGGTTCCATCATCCAATCTGTCAACCATCTGAAAGAATGAAGAGTCATATCTACATAAGTAAAATCTGAAAAATAACAACAACAATGTTTAAAACAGTGATCTAGCAAAGAAAAACACTGATAAGGCGATACCTGCATATAAGCCACAGCTTCTGAGACAGAGAACAGTGTATTAAGGAACTCCCATCGAGTTTCCTTCCGGAGGTCCACCAGTTCCCTCCCGTACATCTCACTTCAATGAAAGAAAGTTAGGCCACACTATAGAATATACTTTTCCGAAATGATATACTAAGAAGCTACATGCTGGAAGAACCTAAGCGCCATATACACAATGTTACAAAGTAATGCATATAATACATATGGAAATTCATTTGGAACCTTAATGTTAGTTTCATCAGAATACTGAATTTGTATTTACAGTGTGAGAGTAATCATAAATCCATGGGATGACAATAAAAGTGAGTCACATTCTCCACTGTTTCTCAATAATCAGAAAAAGGATCGAAGTGTACCTCACAGCTCGATTAGATAGCATGGTTGTGCCATGCATAGCCCTTTTAACATAACCAAATCGATCAGGCTTCACCAAGTTTCCTTTCTCTTTGTCTATGACAAGGCCTCTAATAACCTATATGAAAATATAGAACAAAAGTTGGGAAGAACAATGTAAATCAAGCATCTTATGACTTGCATAAATGTAAATACTCGTAAAAATTTCAACTTGTTTAGAGATGATACCAAGTCGGGGTCAAATGCAAGACCGTCAACGGGGAAGCCCACTTTCTTCAAATTCTCCATACAGTAATCATAAGCTCTCCCTTCCCAAGCCTGCAAGACACAAATTAATGTCAGACAAGACAATCCACAATTCCACCTCCTCCGGCACCAGCAGTAACCAGAAATGTACTGGTAACTAATGCATTGAGGTTCCAACACTAGTTATTAGCAAATGCAGAACTATAACATCCGGATGTCACACTTCAGCAGAATTGTCAATTAGAAAATGGTGAAACTTACAATCACATTATAATGCATCAATGTGTAGTCCATATCATATCCAATGGCACTGATTGATCGAAGATTCAATGTGCGGCTACAAAAAATGCCACGAGGCGATTGCCTTGACGAAAAAGGGCTCTGCATATAAAAATTCGACATGGTAAGTTCGATGCACAAGTACCACCGTAAGCAAATGAACAATGTGCTATTCACTGGAACAAGACAACCATAGACAAAAGAAAAGAAAACAAGGTTGTGATTTTAACACTCAGATTGTTAAAAAATACAGAGCGAAAAATCCAAAATTGTTACTCGAAAAACAAAGGAAAGAAATGTATTAAATGAAGCAGCTAAAGAATTAAACAACAGCACCGGAATGCCCAAGTCTCTGAGCAAGTCTCCAGCTTCTTCAGCCTCCACTCTGGCAACTTCCTCAATGGGACCTTTCAAAGTTACATCACCATCAATTCCTACACGGGTTTTCGAAAAAGATCAAAACTTTACGCAGCAGGCAATACGGTTGCAGTTTCACAAGTGGGAAAATTGAAAGATTGCACTGGAATTTGGAAAGCGGAATAATCAAGTTACCAAAAGCTTCGAGATGCTCCACCTTGACATTCAAATCCCCTTTGGTTTTCTCTCCCAAGTAATCCACTTCGTACTTGCTCGACGAAGTCACAGAAAACGCCGACTTCTCGTCCACGCTGCCGCCGCCGCTGCTGCACTGGCACTTCATTCCGTGATTCCAGAGCAAGTTCTTGCTGCTGATGAAGTTCTGGGACATGGGTCGGATTCGAACCGGACCTCTGAGATGGTTCATGGCCGCCATTGATGCAGGGGTCTCTCTGAAAACCGAGAACTTCCCCAACGCCTCGGCCGCGTACATCACTGAAAGGAGTAGACGAAGAAGAGTGGAATCTGAAAATATCTGAGTATTCTAGTCGCGTTCAACGGCAAGTATAGCGCTAGTGAAAGTGAAGGTTTGTGTTTTTATGGTTTTTGTGGAAGAGATTGATTGGTTTGTCGCGCAGCTGCTGGGACTTATGTCGCGTCTATCGGGCCACTGTGACCGTCGTGGTGGTGGTGATAAGATAAGGGCGACCGCTTTTCGTTTTTGATTTGGACAACAAAACGATCGAAAAGGCCTTGGGGCACGTTTTCCATTTTTTTAGGGATTTGATTTTTTTTTTAATACATCGATATTTTTATACACATAAAATAGAGATTTTGGTAAAGTCATACAATGGGTAGTTTAATGTGGTATCAAATTCGTCATTCAAGAAATTCGAACTTAAGACCTCTCATTTCTAAGTAAAGATGAATACCATCAGATTATAATGTTGTGTGACTTTAGGAGACCTGAATTTGATCTTGAGTCAACTTCATGTCATAGATTTTAGAGGCCTGTCTTCCTGTTTGGGTGTCATTCTCATCCCTTCCTATTTTATTCGGTCACAGTTAAATCACGTCAATATTTTATATTAATTTCTTTATAGATATAATAAGATAAAAAATAATAAAAATATAAAATGTTTGCGTGATTTAATCGTGACTACACAAAATAGAAGGGATTGAAAAGTCAACAAGAGGGCAGATAATCTGCCTCCATAGATATTTGGCTGAATTTGATCCTGAGTTTACCAATAGTTGTTTTCTTTCTCAAATTGTACTTTCTTTGTTATTTGAGGGTCTTTTAGTTAACTCGATGGACTTTCATATTTATTTAATTCAAAATTCTGAAATTATCAGATTCTATTCAATTGGAATTTTGAGGGATTTTAATTCTTTTAATGAATAAGGATTTTAAGTGATTATCTGAAATTTAAATTTAATATGTATTCAATTAGAATTTTAAGATAGTTTATTAAAATCCTTAGAAATCCAGGTGTATTCAATTAGGATTTTAAAGAAGTTCATAACATTCCAGATATATTCAATTAGGATTTTAAAGAAGTTATTCAAAATTCTGAAATTATCAGATTCTATTCAATTGGAATTTTGAGAGATTTTAATTCTTTTAATGAATAAGGATTTTAAGTGATTATCTGAAATTTAAATTTAATATGTATTCAATTAGAATTTTAAGATAGTTTATTAAAATCCTTATAAATCCAGGTGTATTCAATTAGGATTTTAAAGAAGTTCATAACATTCCAGATATATTCAACTAGAAATTGATTTTAAAGAATTTAAGAAAGTTGAGGAATTAGAGGAAATTGAAGAAATTTAATTGTGTATTTTAAGCATCCACAAATCTCACATCTTCCCATGAGATTTTGAGGGAAAAGAATCAAAATTTTATATGAAATCTCTACAACTCAATTAAACTTTATAAAAAATTATGAATTTATAAATTCATTAATATATTTCGAATTCTCGATTGAATACACTCTCTACGATCCGAAATTTCTCAAACTCAAAATATAAGATATAATCATATCTTTTGGAAATAAAATTATACCATAAAACGGAGAGGCTAGATTAGCTCAAAGATGATCATCAACTCAAGACACGGTGTGCTCTTGATTTTTTAGTGTAAGAAAGGATAAGGAAAATGTCTTGGGCCAATGTAAAGTACCATTTGTCACTTTATTGATGTAACCCTAACCATCACGACACGTCACTACGTTCAAAAAATACAAAAACAAATAAATTATATCCATACACGCAAAGGGCATAACTGGAAATACTCTTTCTGCCCTATTGGGCTGCTGCTTTTGTTCTGGGCCGACCCGTTTGTCTGGTGACTTAACAATCTCTCTCTCCGACGCCGCCTCCTCCTGAAGCCTAGTTTTTCAGTCTCCCTCTCTCGGTCCGAAGCCATTGTCGGCGAAGCAACGTAGCTAGCCGCCGCCCTCGACGATTAACCCGCCGCCAGTACGTTACCTTCTTCTCTTCTATGAGTTTTCTAGGAATTATGACTGATTTATGCTCATCAGCTTGTGTGTGTAATTTCCTTAGGCGCTGCTTCGAGTTTTGATTCCCTATTTGCGTTGTAGAATGGCGGAAAGCAATGCGGTGATTGGGCTCTCGTGGGAGCCAAAGTTGCCTGCTTTTTCATCGGCGTCCAAAAATGGAGGTGGGTCTGGCTCCAAACCTCGCCCCGAAGGCAATCCGCTTTGGAAACCCAGCACGCAGCTTGTCGATGGCCTCTTCGTTCCGCCGAATGACCCGGTAAAGCGGAACAAACTGGCCAAGAAGCAGATCAAAGACACTGCTGGAACAAGCTGGTATGTCATCAGCTCAATTCACTCTGTTTCCTTATAGTCTTGGATTTTCTTAGAAACCCATATGGAATCCTCTAAAGTTCAACTTTTTTATTGTATGCAAGCGATTTTCTACTTTAAACCATTGTTCTAAAAATCCCCGTCTAGGCAGGGCCTAGGCGCTAAGCTGTTACTCACCGCTCCAATTAATACCTATGCGTTTGAAAATTAAGAAATGGCGCCTACACCTGAGACTTGTTGAATACTTAAATGAACACACATTATATACTTGTTCCCTATGTTTTCATTATGTTTCGATACTTCATAATGTATTTGTTATCCTATTTTGTAGTTTATAATAAAATTATATATATATATATATATGTTTTTTTTTTTAAGTATAGACACACACTTGTTTATACGAAATATAATACATTTACTTAAATATGCCTATGCACTCGTCTAGGCCCCGCCTAGGTGCTAAGCCCAAGTCCACCACCCAATTAGCGCCTAGCGTCTTTTAGAACTTTGCTTTAAACTAATCCAAACCGGAAGATTTGAACCCGGCCTTACATGTTTGTTTGTCTTTTAATAATTTATATGATTTAGGTTTGACATGCCTGCACCAACCATGACCCCGGAGTTGCAAAAAGATCTCCAATTACTAAAGGTGTGTTAAATTCTGTTTTGTTTCTGGTAATAATTTCTTTGGCACTATGTTGTAGTCATGAACATTGCTTTTTTTTCTTTTTCTTTTTTTACTGGGTTTTGCAATTGCATCAATGCATCTGCTGAATAGAGTTATAGGATTCTGTGTGTTTTCGAAGTTTGGTGCTTATGGTTGTCGTTACCATGTTATTGCATCAATTTCTGCTACCTTGGATGTAGTTCACATCGGACAGTCTTTCAAGTTTCAACTGCAATCTCTAGTATGGAGAATGTAATTAAAAGCCGATCTAACTTCAAAGTTTGCATTTGATGGTCCACTTTGGTATGATTCCAAGTCCTTGTCAAGTTCATTTGGATGAAAATGAACCTTGTCAAATCCTAGCACATTCTATGGTACACTTTAGCAAGTGGTGTTTGTAGAAACATTAAACAAGGTGGTAGCTCTTTGGAATCTGGAATCCTTTCCGACATTCAGTTATTTTTCATATTTCCATGGTTCCGGTATCGTTCAGACCATTTCCATTCTAAAGCATATCAATTGATATCTATTTGAACCTAGTGGGATTTATGCCTGCTCTTGCACAATTTTCATTTACCTTTTGGTGTTATTTGATGCTTTCATCGTTGTTTAAACGAAGTATAGTTGGCTGATTCGATTTTCTAATTGCAGTTAAGGAATGTTATGGATCCAAAGAGACACTACAAGAAGGGTGATGCACAACCTAACAAGTATTTCCAGGTTAGAATATGGTATCACAATAACATTACAAGTAGCCATTCCTAGGATGTATTAGTATATTTGACGAGGTTATCTGTGTTTTCGTTGTTTATCAGGTAGGGACAATAATAGAGTCCCCATTAGATTTCTTCTCGGGCAGACTTACAAAGAAGGAAAGGAAGGTGTCCCTTGCAGAGGAAGTGCTTTCTGATCGTAACCTTGGGAACTACAGGTATGATAGCTAGAGACATCCACTGTTTCCAAATTCTGAAACCATATGTTTAAGGAGGATTCTTTTGGCATCCGAAAAAAGTTCAAACTTCAAATTATAACCACTTAACTGTGCTGATGCTTATTTCATGAACCTTGCAGAAAGCGGAAGGTTCGCGAGATAGAAGAGAAAAACCGGCCAGGCGGAAATGAAAAATGGAAGATTAAGGGGAAAGGGACGTATCAGCGTGCAAAGCAAAGAAGGCACTGATATATATATATATACCAGATTTTTGAAACTCTATGGAGATTTATTGGTTTCTGTTATTTGACAATCAGAGAGGGAGAGGGAGAGGGAGAGGGACTATTGATGTCTAACTGTACCAATGTGACAATGGAGGAAATTCTGTAGTTTCAAATATTTGATGGCATGTTGTTACGTGGGTTGCCTCGGTTAGGTGTTGGCTTGTAGATTTGTTTTCCAACGTGCCAGGCTGCCGTATTCATTTGATTGGGGGAGCTTCTTGTCTCCGCATTACATTTGCGGTGAGCGAACAAGAATAAGATTAACTGCTCCTTCCCAAACGCATCTAATTTTTTATTTTCCAGGGTATTGGATTGCAAATTTCGGTTAGGCAACCTCCTTTTTTTCATCATGATGTTTGGCAAGTAATCCAGAGAAATTTCAATTCTCGTTCCAAGGAAGCGTCGTCGTTGGTTCTTTACTCTTCAGATTAGCATAGATCTCACCGTTCCTCATGATCCATTACTATATTTACTTCAATTTCCACTTGTAAAATTATATGACCAGGTTTTGACCCAAAACAAAATTGTAAAAACAAGTTGATTAGAGGCCATGCATCTTGAATTCAAAACTCCATTTTTATCCCCCCCCCCAACCTTCTCTCCCCATCTCTTAACAATAATAATCTCCAAAAGATGATGAAAATACTACTTAATGTCTTCTATCACACAAAAAAATTGATGGACAATAATGTAATTTCACAAGTTCAAATTTTACTGTTTTTTATTGAAACCTTACTTATGGATGCTGTTAAAATACCTCTAATATTAAAATTATAAAATAAAAACCAAAAACAAAAACCTCTAACTCCCCTCACGTTCTCTCTCTCCCTCTCTCTCCTCATTTTCTAAAAAATTGTGTTCATAAACGCAAATGCTAGTAATAATAAAGAAAGGAAATGCCAAAAGAGGCAAATGTTTAAAATATATATATTCTGATTTACCTGGTGAGGTAAAAACTAAATAGAAACTACACAAAAAATACTAACTGCCAATTTTTATTAGAAAATAAAAAATTGACAGTGACTTATCCATTTACAATAAACGTCTATATGACAATTTTCACTTGTAATATCCCCTGAAATAATTAATTTCACCATTCAACCGTGTCCTAATGATCAACGTCGAAACACAAGGCTCGCATCACGGCAATGGCTCCTGAGAATCTCCCAAGCGAGACAAATGCAGATACGCGTCCGTCCCTGTACATACACGGCACCAAGTATACGTCCATGTGAGAAAATCGGTGAGCGAAGCGAAAGAAAACGACAGGTGATTTTAGGGACAGATGAAGATGCAAGTGTTTTTTTCAGTCCAGAATACGATGTAGTTACTGTACAAGAACTACCCCTTCAGAACTCAGATGGGAAAGTCCTCCGCAATCGTGCAACACAACGGGCTTGTGATGTGGGTGAAGCAAGGTGCAAAATGTCGAGTGGATGAGCAACGATGATGCAGATAGACAACGACGGGTGACTCTCAAGAGTAAAGAGGCAAGTAAAGACATAAGATGATGAACTAGCGACATCGACAGGCTTTACCCCTTATGAACTGATAACGGAAAGATGCATACAACACTGTCAGACTTTGGTTGCGAAAGTCTTGCTAAACATGCGTAATACTCTGAATGCAACATACTTGCAAACGCAGATGAAAACCGTGTAGAATTTTCGGTGTGTTAAACGTGCAGATAACTAGACATTGACGTAGACAAGGGTTTAATTACAATAGCTTACGGCTATTGTCATAATATACCCTTTCTTCATGACTCATACAAAGAAACCAAGGTAAAGCAAACGGTATGAGTGTGATTGCGAAACCCACTAATTGTGTGTAATAATCTAAATGGAACAGGTTCGGGAACTTGACAACTCACCGTATCCTTCCATAGAGATAATTTGTAAATCCCCTCCAAAGTACCTCGCATACAAGCGGCTTATAGGAAGCCCGTACCCATATCCAGCCATTGTAACTGCATCAGCTTCCGAAAGATCTGAATCCAAAGGGTTACTTGCAGTGCTGTAAAGATATGTAAAAATCTTGGGGAGACCACTTCTTGGTATGCCACCCCCCTCATCCGAGACCTATGAATTCAGCCGTACCAATTCGATAAGCACCTCATTGATAAGCATCTCACGAATATTGGTTCAATATACAAACGAAATTCTCTGAATCACACAAAATAATACCTTGATAGTGACATCCTCAATTCCATCAGCAACTATTAATTTAACAGGAGGCGCAACTTTATCCGAGTCCATGAAACGCTCTTGGACAGCACGTAAGGAATTCTTAACCAACTCAAAGACCATAGTATGCAAGTGTGTTGGAACATACCTGTTATGAAAACAAACAGAACTTTAGTTGTCGGATAATAATATATCACTAACCACCACTACTGGTTCAATGCAAAGAGTCACATAAGTTTCAGGATAGTACAAAGAAAAATATACTTGCTGGAATGTAAAATCGATTCAATTAGAAACAGACCCAACCAAGTGAGAACAAAATATACTTACGGGAATGTAAAATCGGGATCCCCATAGATAGTAACATTAGGTGCACTTCCATACTCACGCAGGCACATTGCACGGGCGTCCTCAGTGGCATTTCGTGCTACCTCCATGGGAGACATCTTTGTATCTATATAACCCACACAATGAGGAGGGGGATTGGGATTGTGCAACTCAACATGCTGGCCTGAGTTTTAGAGATATTTTAGAACCCACTGAAAGAAAAGTGACATAACTTGCAAAACCAGCAAGCTAAAAAAATCACAGTAAAAAGGCAATCTGACCAATGAGCATGCGAATCCCAATTCTTGACATGTAGAAGCGATCCAAAAATTGGTGAATTTCATCAAGATCCTCGTAGAGAACCTTCTCCTTCTTCAACTGCTGAACACCCAAAGCCATCATCGGGACAACATTGTTGTGTCTTACCTTAATCGCCTTAATCATTTGTGTAAAATCCTTTTCATCTTTAGCATCCTTGATATCAGGAAAGGTTCTAAGATCACGGAAGGAATCCAAATACCAGTCTCGTACCTGCAAATAAAAAAAAGCAAAATTACATCCTTGCAATATTTGATTCTTGAACAAGTACATTTAAAATATTGTTTCCTCATAGTTCACTGTCTAAATTATTAAATGCTCAAATACAAGAGCTCGGATGATCTAGTACTATTGTAATTTGCAGAAGGAACAATCTCAGCCTCAAGCAATTCGCACTCGTTACTCTGAAGAACGATTTTGCAAACAACTCGTGCGCATTTTGCTTTTCAAAGCAAAGAATTCACCTTTTCAAAAGCACATAGACCTACTAGCAAAGTAATTCACATTCTCCCCACCCTAAGAAAAATTACTGTACTTTTGCCCAAGGAAAAAAAACTTACTTCACATATTCAGAGAACAAAGTCCACAGAACAGAGTAATCAATGGATATTCTATAAAACCCAGACAGCAATTAGCAGGGAGATCCCCGTTCACATTAGAAAAAAATTAACTAAAAGTGGATATTTAGTCAAAGCTTTTCATAACCCTTTTATGGTGTAATCAAATAAATAATAATATAACAATTTATACAAAATTTAACCCAAATCCCATTTCCCACAATTCGATTCCAAGAACAAAAAAAGAGACCATAATTTAACAAAACAAACAAAAAGAAAGCACCTTCAAAACGGCAGGCTTCTCAGACAAGCCATAAGGGAGGCTCTCGAGCTCAATTGCCCGCCTCGCAATCCGAATGGGGAGCTCCTTGTGCAAAAACTGCGCCGAGATTATGAAATTCCGCTGCGTCGGCCGGGACCCGAACTCCATCATGTACCTGAGGCTCACCCCCGTCTGCTTCATACATCCCCATCTCTGCACCTCGTCGATCAAGCTCTTCGAGAACGACTCGCTCGCCTTCTTAACCGCCATGGCTCCGTCGCCGAGCCCAGAAGCGAGTACGACCTTGCAGACACGCAACCACCCGCATGCAACCCTGAGTTCGCACTCTCACAATGGGACACTTGCTTAGAAGATATCGCACGCAGCCAAAAGCATTGCCCCCAAAATTCTATTGTAAATTACAAGGACTTCCGTCCACAAATGGGAAATTTATAAAGACAATAAATCGGGAATTTTCGGAACCCTAGGGTTAGAATTTAACCAGAGGATTCGAATCACCCATTGAGACCTTTATTTTTTGTGCCGGTTTTCTTGGTATCTTTCTGGTTTTCTTGGTATCTATGGGTGGTGGTGTCGCTGTAGGAGGCAGATTGTCTGCGCTCTTGTTTGGGTAACCTTCATTTTCCCTTTATTTGTTCGATCACGGTTAAACATGTTAATATTTTATATTCTAATTACTTTTTATCTTATTATATTTATAAAAAATAATATAAAATATTGACTGGTTTAACCATAACAATCTACCTCTGTCGCTGTAAATAGTAAAAATATAAAATATTAACGTAACTTAACCGTGACTACATAAATGGAAAGAGTACGGAAATAGGATGGTCAGTAAATGGAAATTCACTGAGATTGAAACTCAGTATGAGTCAGCACGTGCGGCAATTTGGACTGGCGTGGTGGGTTTTTGACACGTGGCTAGAGCCTTATCCATTCTCCACCTGTTTGGTATAGACGCGAATGGTTGCAAGCTAGTTTATGGGCATCAAGAATCCGACTAAAATGTAATGTATAGGTCTTATTTTTATTAAAGAGACTTTATCGTATCAAATAGATAATATAAATGATGAAATAAATAGATAATCGATGTAACATTACTTGTACCAACTATGAATAAATTATTCTATATTGTTATAATAAAAAAATAGGATGGAGATCATCTTGATCGGATCATCTGAACCATTAAAATTTGATCCAACGATTATAAACAAAGGGTCCTCTAAAAGTTATAATTATTGTAATCGTTAAATCAAATTTTAATGGTCCAGATGGCCCGTTCAGAATGATCCCCATCCTATGCTCAATAAGGGATCCGATTCCGTAGAAAAAGTAGAGAGCCGTTGATGAGTGGATTTCTGGATGGGGGTAAAATGGTCCCAGTGGTCCAGTGCTCCCATTATGTGTACCAAAAGTAAAGAGTGAAAGTATCACAAACAAGTTGGAAGGGGAAGTTAGTCTA